CGGGTACGTGTTGAACCGCTCGACCGCCGAGAAGCCCTCCTCGAGAATCTCAATGCTCGTGCCCGGCGTCATGGGGAACGTCGTCGTGTCGGCGTTGGCCGACCGCCCGACGGCCACAATGTCGACGAGATACACCTGGAACCCCTGGTCCACAAAGTACGACGCCCACCCCTGCCGCCCGTCGGGCGTGTTGAGCCACGTCGCCCCCGAGATGCCGCCGCCGTGGAGGAAGACGAGCGGCTTGGGCTGCGTGACGCCCCGGACCGGCGTCAGCTTCTCGACGAACAGCTGGTCGACCGTGTAGTTGCCGTCCGACAGCGCCACCGTGCGCCCGCCGAGGAAGAACGCATCGCGGACGTAGGCCTTGTCGACGGTCGGGCACCCAAACGCGACGCCGTTCGTGGCTTCGCAGTTGGACGGCTTGCAGGATGCCGAGGCCAGACCGGCGGCGGCGAGCGCGCTGACGAGGAAATTAGACGCACGCATAATGACTTGGGTCGCAATGTCGATCGACGCTTCAACAGGCTCTCTCTCGAAACGACAAACAGCAACAAAAATGGGAGGCCGTGGCTACCTAGCGAGAGACATCAGGGACCAGGCGTGGCCGCTAGACCACGCGACGGCCACGCCAACTTCTTTTAAGAGAGCGGACAGAGCGGCAGCCCTGTGGGTATCGAGCAGGCCTCGATGCCAAGTTGCGGGAAAGGGGAGAGACTGTTGATCCAGCCGCTACCGCCCCCCCCAAAACGCAGTCAATAAAACTCGGGCCAATTTCCTCTCTGGCTCTCCCAAGCTGGGCGCTGTCCAGTTAGGTACGGGGCAGCAATGGGGCAGCGATACCTTTATGATCGAACCGAGTTCCCGCCTCAAATCTCCCGAGAAAGTCTTCTCCAGGAAAAGAACCCCATGAACACGAACGGCCCTGTCCCACCCCCCCTTGCCTTGCATGGGTGTACCGTACAAGGTACGTCGACCAAGCTTTCCAGATTGCGCCCAGCGGCGGGGCATGACTAGCAACACCATCACCCACGGCAAGGTCCGCGGATGGCCCGGCAGACCACCATCGTGATAGCCTAGGACGTACCGGTACTTCTCACTCATGACCACACCTTACCTGCAAGTCCAGGGACTGTGCCTGTCTGTACATGTAGTTGCAGGCCTTGGGGGAGGGAACCCCTACTTACCATGGACGAGTCGAACGACATCAGTGAGGCTTGCGCGCTCTGGTTTCGTACTACTGGAAGGGATATAGGACCTGAGATCCCCCTTCATCACCAGACGTCACGTACCCAGGAAGACTCGAAGTCATGAGTGCGCCTGTGGTGTCTTTGTTCCCTTCACAATCCAGAGAGTGCGCACCTCTCCACAGTGACAAGTGGTCTCTGGAGACCCGACTGTCATGTCGACGCCGAACACAACGACATCGGCCTTTTACGGCCAGCCGCCCAACACGGTCCGGGATGCCAACATAGTGCAGGGCACGTTCTGGGTCGACTTCAAGCTCGACACGCTCGATCCCAGTGGTGGCATCCCCTTTGCCCCCAAGCCGCCCCCCGGCTACGAGCACGAAGACAAGCAGGCCGCCATCATTGTCGGCATGGTTCTCGTCATTCTCGCCATTACGGTTCCCACCGTGGCGAGGATCGTGGCGAGATTTCGCAGCACCGAGATGCGACTGGGTCTCGATGACTATACCATAGTCCTCGCCGCTGTACGTGAAGAGAGACCCCCAAAGCCTGCTCGACATTGTTGGCCGTGCCTCTGACAACAGCCTCCTCGCAGAGCCTCGCGACCGTGTACCCGTGCTTCCAGATCTGGATGGTCGTCTCGGCGGGTGGCGGTCGACACTCGTGGGAGAACACGTACGAAGACTGGGAGAAGTTCGTGCGCGGCCTGAGCTCGTGCCGGCTCCTCTTCTTCGTGACGGTCGGCCTCATCAAGATCTCCATCACGCTCTTCGTGCGGCGGCTGGCCGACCGGGCGTCCGTCTTCTGGCGCCTCGCCGCCGACATCTTCCTCGGCTCGCTCGTGCTCTACGTCCTGGCCGCGCTCCTCTGGAACTCGCTCTTCTGCCTGCCGCCGCGCGCCTGGTTCTCGCGCCAGTACGCCGGCAGCCTCGCGCGGCCGCCGCGGTGCAGCGACGACGTCACCAACGCCCGCGTCTTCTCCATCATCCACACGGTCCAGAGCTTCCTGCTGCTCGGCGCCCCCATCATCATCATGTGGCACGTCCGCATCGACGCCAACAAGAAGCGGCGCCTCTTCGCCATCTGGATCTGCGGCGCCGTCACCGTCCTCGGCGGCGTCCTGCAGCAGATTGCCTTTGTCATCACAAACGACCTCTTCTGGCAGTACACCTCCATCCTGCGCTGGACCACCCTCGACCTCGCCATGGGCTGCATCACGGCCTCGCTGCCCGTCCTGGACGCCTACGTCATGGGCACCTGGCACTCGGCCACCAGCGCCCTCGGCGGCTCGTCCGGCGAGCGCAGCGGGAGCCGCTTCCGCACGGCCGGCAGCCATGCCGCGAGCGAGCGCATGCCGACGCAGCTGACGCAGGGCCAGGTCAAGAGTGACTCGGATTCGACGCAGAACATATTCGTCGGAAACAGAGGGAGTGACGATGAGGGCTATCAGCTGTCTGATGTCAAGTCTACGAATGGGGGCCATGTGCAAGTCAGTCAGATAGTGTAGGCAGGCCAGGTCGAAATTCCATTTCAGTCATCATGAAGCATGTCTTTGGACACTTCCGAACGTCCATCTCCTGCATCCAGCCGTTCAGTGCCACAAGATCGGACAGACAACAACAACAGTATGCCAAGAGTACGATTTTTTTTGTGGCAGTGAGTCTAGTGTACGTAAGGCGAACGGCCCAGCTTGATGCAGAGGGAGGGGATAGGTCGTGACGATCCCTGAGCTCATTCATTCTCAGAATCCTCTCAGGGGATATCCGTGTTCGATAAGGCTTCTGGAGCCGGATCGTCGCTCTCACGGACAGAATAGTCTCATGTCGTACGCCGGATCAGGCGGTATTGGCAGTGCAACATGCAGATGTGATTCGAGCCAAACAAACCATCCCGTACCTCCTTCCCTGCCTGCCGATCAATCCGACGATGCAGTGTTAGTCAAAGCCTCAGAGCCCAAAGATCGGTCGCTTTCGCATTCAGAAAGTAACCTTACTTTGGAGGGTTTCTAGATCTTGCGTCCGTGTCATGATCCCGGGCATGTCGTGATTCAGGTACCGATGTCTGTAGTTCAACGTCGAACTTGCG